TGGTTCAATTTAATACTTCACCAAAGAAAGGTATGTCGTCTAATTTGATGGTTTGATGGATGTAAACCAAAAGATCAGATTGATTTCTTGCATCATGAACATTTTAAAGCTAATGTACCTTGATCTTTTGACATCCAAACTCATTGTACCAATAAAAGATCATGCAAACATCACTAAACTAAAACGTTTGTGATCATTTAAGAACCTAGCAATGAAAAATAAACATTGTATTTCTACTTCTAAATATGATTGGGGTCACTTAATTAGGAAGTTAATTAGTTTGAGTGTTTGTGAAATTAATTCTGTACTAGTAAGTCTTTGATTTATGGGTTTAGATTTGAATTATGCTACATCTGATTTGACTAGTTTCTTCATTGGTCACATTAAGGATGTTTTTATGGCAATTGACCTTAGGATTATGATTACTTAATCGTGTCTTACTCCCACAATATCTGTCAAACAAAATGTAATTGCAAGTCAGCTTATTCCCTGATATACCTGGTGATTTAGGAATAAATGACTTCAGATGCATTTGATTATCAGTGCAAAGAACAAAGCACGAGGTTCTGTTGAAACACACTAATAAGATGAGAAAATGATGAAACTAACAAGGGAAAATCTTGTGCCAAGAAGTCCGACATTCTTCTTTTGTGTGTGTGTGTGTGTGTGTGTGTGTGTGTTTATTAAAATAAAGTTAGCTTTGTCCGTATTATCTGTATTTAATGGTAAAAAAAGAATGCAAAATTTAAAATTGTATGCATTTTTGATTTGTGTTAAATTTCATGTGCAGTAAGCACTGATTAAAACAGACTGTGATGTAGAAGGACGGAAAATATTCAAGACGTGAACAATGCTATGTGTTTTGAAGAAAACTTTAAAGGTTTTGAATTATTTTTTGAAACAAGTAATACATACGCATGTGGTTTTGCTTATTTGTTGAATGCTCTTGTGGTTTTAACAATTTAGTTTTTACTGACATTTTCCCTTTATGTCTTTCAGATTTCGAATTTAATTTGAATATTAGAAATATTTAAGTGAAAAAAGAAAATAAATTCTATAAAATGTATAGGTTCGGTACTTGATCATGATTGGTTGAGTACTTATATAAAGTATATTTTGTGCATACATACTTCAGAACTTATGATATCTGTGTGTCTGTGTGTTGCTTGGCACTAAACACTTGAAGAGTTACATTGCTTAATTTATCAATAAATGATTATATTGTTGTTGCTGCTGTGTGTTAATTATGCAACCTTGCTAGCTATATTTGTCGTAATCTTTTTATAAAAGTAATCAGACTTGTGAAGGCCACGTCGTGCCTATCAACGACCCGTAGCTGCTCTAAAATCACTGGGATTATTATTGCTTTATTTTACATTTTCAGACCTCTTGAAAACCCTAAACAATGTAATAACATTAAATATTACTGTATTGGGTTCTATAAGTGTAAGTTTACAGACTAAATTTGATGAGTTTCTTCAAAACGCATGAAGTTACTACAGAACTGTCCCAATAGAGATCCAGAATGATGCAAATATAATGAACATTTTATACTGTGTTCTGCCGGAATTCACGGTTTATGACGTGACTTTATGAGGAAATTAATGTTACTAAAAAGCTAGATGGAGCTGGTGTTGAGTGTCTTATTTAATGACACCTGTGTCTCTGTCAGAGCAGCACAGGATGAGTGCGGTTAAAGAGCGTGAGGAGAAAAGGGACACACACACACACACACGCACACACACACACACACACACACACTCACACACACACTCACACTC